GCGCTGTATCCAGCTCTCATATTTGGGGAGGATTCTTCAGATCAGGCTAATTCAAGGCCCTGATGCAGTCCCCTAGACGGAGTCACCAATCAGCTAATTGCTGACCTGGCCCCAGACCTACCCTGTGTTCAGCTTAAGGCACCATACACACCAGCCACAAGAATGCTCTACACTATATGTGGAACATTTTTATGCCTGGCTTGCCATTTTAAGGCGCCTTAAACTGGGTACACATGTAGCACCCTTGTCATATATGCCACAATTAACATGTTCATCATGCCATAAATGCAATGTATGGAGGGGGTTCGAGGCTTGCTCTTGCCTTTGTCCCTGGTGCCCTCAAAGAGGGGTTCATCTCTGGGCAAGAATAGGAAGGCAATAATTGGGATGAGTCCCGTGTGCAGATGCCGAAAGCGCTGTTCCCCTGGGGCTGGGAGCGCTTGGACCTCGGGGCCTCGCTCTCGCCCGTCGCCAGCAGCAGCCTGCAGGAACCGCAGCGTACCGATCTCACTCCTCAGGCATTACTTGCACGCGTGCTTCTCAGGCTGACCTCAATTATAGCTCTTCAGACTACCCATGGGCTGGTATTTTCCAAATCCCTTATTAAGACAATGAATTCAAGTAACCCTGTTGCTTATCATCACGCCCATGGTAGATTAACTCTCATGGAAGAGTCCTGCCCTCTCCAGAATAAAGAATATACTGTTATCCTATTACTACTTAGCCAGTGTTATACATGCCAACAAGACACAGGCTTAGGGAAAAAGCCATCATTTTCCCCCTCCTGCCCTGATATCCAATTTCAGGAGGCTTTATTTGTAGCAGAGGGTGCAGTGCAAAGCACTTTCTCTGGAAGTAATTACTCCTGCTAAGCCAGCACTTGGCTTCAGCCACAGGCCTCCTTCCACCCGCCTTGCTCCTCTCCTGTGGCAGCTCCCGGCTCTTGGAGGCTCAGGATGTTCTGATTTCAAGGCTCCCCCCATACACCGTGCTCAACACCTGCCGAGGGACCTTTCCTCCTGGGACCCCTCCTTCCCCCCCTGAACCGGGGCAAGCTCCCAGCCTCCACCATGTCGCGTGGCCACGAGTCCTACAAGGCAGCGACACTGTGGGAGAACAGGAGGGCCGGGGACCTTCCTTCTCTCACCAGGGAGGGTCCTGGCGTGGGGCCTCGGGTATAGCCTGAGGGCCAAGAAGGGATCCCAGGACCAGCGCCAGCAAAATGAAATACTCGCAAACACAAACGTAGTTAAATGTTGATAGCGAATCTAATAACGAAATACAGAAAAGACGCACACGACTAAGCAGTACAGATAAGGCATGTCAAGCAACTGATTAAACTTTTATAAAGTGAGCATTTTCCTAAATGCGTAACAATCTTGTTAACACGCGAGAGAATTTAAAATTGCAATTTCCCTAAGTCTTAAAGCCATAAAAAGGCTTCTAACAGGTGGCCAGCCCGGTAGGGAAAAGGACTTTTCGCCTAGGTTTCAAATTTGAGTTTTACAAGAGCAAGAACTGTCGTCCAGGGTTGAAGAACAGAGATTCTGGGACGAACCCAGAGTTTTGTACGCTACGGCTGGGCTCGCATAGCGGAAAGCTTACTACATGAAGATATGTAAACGTGTTTCTCTAATAGCATTCATATGCCTGTTCCTATTCTGTATCCCAGCTACATCTGGTCTAAAATGAGCGCTGTCTAACCACTGCATGTCCTGTCAGCAAACTACAGCATGTCCATTGGCCAAGTTTTATTTTTCCACTCCATCCCGAATCTCCTGACTTGCTTCACACCCCACAACGTCCTTTCCTCTGCCTCTCCTCTTAGCCAGACTTTGCTGGAGCACACGCTGTAGCACCATCCCATTTCACCACTGAGAAGCTGAGGGTTACTACAGTCCTCCCTGCGGGGCTGGGGACACAGGGCAGTGGCATCTACCTCCCTGGGAAGTCATGGCCTGTGTGTGGACAGGGTGGGGGAAGCCATGCGTTCACCCCGCGGGACCCCGGGTTGCATGCCCTGCTCCCAAATGATGCTGGGGAGTGTCTGATCCCTGCGGCCTCGCTTGTGGGAGGAGAGGATGAAACGCCCCCGAAGTCACGGCTGTGCCTCTCCTTCCTCCCATGAATGATTTCCCCCCAGCTGGTGCTCGGGGCAGGCGCCGTGTCAGTGCGTCTGGAGGAAGGAAGGGAAATGCGGAGCCTCGCTTGGCTGCATCCCTGAAGGAGCTCCCCGCCAAGGGAGACTCTCCAGGCCCGGCCTCACACCTGCTCCCGCTTTCCCCCATGCTCCCGCATGGTTATTTTTAGCCCCTTCCCGGGGCTCAGCGCTGAGCGGGCACTGCTGACACGCGTGTGTGGACGGCGGTGGCGAGCGGGGGGGCTGTGCTAGACGGGAGCAGCGCGGGTTAGATGGAGCTGGCGGAGGAAATGCAATGGGAGGGCTCTTGAGCCGATGCGGAGAGCCCCAGCAGGGGCTGGTCCATGAACACCGGGCAGGGCAGAGCCTGGGCTCAGGGGCACCCCCAGCACCAACCCACCCGGTGCGCTGGCAGCGGGGGAAAGCCCGGCTGGCTTCTTCTGAACACCACGCTTCCCAGGTGCTTGAACCGTGCCCTGGGGTCAGAGGTGACCTGGACCGTGAATCCTGCTCCAGGATGTGGACATGCTGGAGACAGTCCAGCGCAGGACAATGAAAATGGTTGGGGGCTGGGGGACAGGACTGGTGAGGAGAGGCCGAGGGGACTGGGCTGACTGAGGCTGCAGAAGAGAAGACCAAGGGGGATTCGATAGCAGCCTTCACCTCCCTGCCGGGGGGCTGCAAAGAGGACGGAGCTGGGCTGGTCTCAGTGGGGGCAGATGACAGGACAAGGAGCAACAGGCTCAAGCTGCAACAAGGGAAGATGAGGTGGAGATTAGGAAAAATACGCTCATTAGGAAGGAGGTGAAGCACTGGACCAGGCTTCCCAGAGAGGTGATGGACTCTCCATCCTTGCAGGGTTTGAAGACCCAGGTAGACAAAGCCTTGGCTGGGATGATGCAGTTGGGGCTGGTCCTGCTTGGAGCAGGGGGTTGCACTAGATGTGACCTCCTGAGCTCCCTTTAACTCTTCTTTTCTAGGATTGTGTGATAAGATGGACCAGGAGGAGGAAGCACGGTGACCTGGTGAATGGTGATGTGGTTCTTCACCGCCGAGGCCTCGTGGCAAAAGCAGCTCTGAGAACGTCAGAGAAGGCGGTAGGACAGCCCGGCCGAGCTCAGGAGGGGCCACTTTTCCATCCCTGTGAGCTTTAGGGATTGAAAAAACTGGCCCCTTAGATCCCGAGGGGCTGCACAAGGCTGCCCAAGACAGCCTGCCCCACAGCGGGCTCTCCAGCCCTCGAGGCCTGCCCCATCCACTCCAGGCACGAGGCTGGAGTAACCTGCGCGGCTACAGCAGACCAGGGCTCCGGTCTGGGTCGTGCGGGGGCACGGGACCAATCTCTCTCCCGCTCGGCACAAGGCTGCTTGCCCCCGGCCCAGAGCCAGAGCCGTGTCCGGCAACTCCCCATGCCCCCAGCACAGACCTCCACGACGGCTGTGCGTGATGCATCTGTCCATCTGCTGGGGTTGCGGCACGGCTCTACCCGAATAACTCGCAAATCTCCCTGCAGACAGCACTGCCTCTCTGCAGCCCTGGCCTTCCCCGCTCCGCTCCAGGCTTCTAACTGCCGCAACCCTCCCAGCGACGGGATAATAAGGTGTTTGTTTCCACCACAAACATGAATGAATCTGGATGCATCCAAGCCCTGCATTTAGGTTTCGGATTTAGGAGGCTGCTCCTAAGGCGCTCGTGTCAAACTAACCGACCTTTACGGATGCTGCAGTAATGGAGACGCAAGCAATGCATTGGCACCTCCTCCGAAGGACTAAACCCCCACCGGTCCGACCTCTCCCCCGCCCGTAGCGTGTGGGCGAGCCGCAATGCACTCACGATACGGCAATACACGCTTGGAGATGGAAGTGGAAACCCAATGGGATGAGCGTGCTGAACTCGCGCGCAGCGGCTGGGCTCACAGGGCAGGTGAACCCATGGGTGTTCGTTCCCATCCCTTCCCCCCGCTCCCAAACCCTAGGACTGGGCTGTCGGGTCCAGCCAGCAGCGGAGAAGGCGCTCGTGTTGCCTCTGCACCCTTGATCCCACTGCTAACCTTCTGCATTGGGGCAGCAGAAGCAACCGAGCGCTGTGGGGTTGTTGCATGACTTCCCGACAGGCCATGCCAGTGTTTGCTATTACATTACCACTAGTGTAGTGTGTCACGGTATATCACTACCGCTGTTCACTATTACAGTGAGACCACAAAAAAGATCAGAGCCCACCGTGGATGGAGCTGCATGATCGCACAGAGCACGGTCCAAACAGGTGGTGAGGAAAGAGGAAGGGAGGATGTTCTCCCCATTATATAGATGGGCTACTGAGATGCAGAAAGATTAAGTGACTTGACCCTGGGCATGCAGGGAGTCTGTGGCAGAGTTGGACATGCCCGTAGAGCTGAGTCTGGTCAAAACCTTCCATCCCATGAACCGCATTGCCTGAGGTGTCCCCCGAGTCCGGCCATCCTCTGCTACAGGCACCCACTGCAGCAGATGCCACCACTGCCCCCACCGCGCTCGGGTAGGGAAAAGATGAAATCGATGCAGCCTATTTCCATCCTCGGGAAATGATGACCATATTGACGGGCCGCACCGGTGTCTGCAACGCGCGCAGCCCAGAGGCAGCAGCCAATAAGAGGCATTGCTCATTCATGCAGCTTAACTCACCCGTCATTAAGCAAATGGCCCATAATGGCTAGTAATCACAGCCACAGAGAAACTTGCAGCTATTATAACTGTTCTAATCAACGTATTGAAGAGCCGCTCTCTAAATTACGGGTGTAAGCGGGGCATTTTTCTCTCCGCGTGGCCCTTTTAGCAGGCTTGCTTGGCTCCAGGATGTGCCCCGCGGGCCGACGCTTCGTTACCTGGGAAATTTCTTCTCTTGTCGAAGCTGCGGCGCTGGGGGTCTCTGCCAAGCGGGGTGGCCAGGATGGGATTGGCGTGGCTGCACCATTGGGACAGGGCCTTGTTCATGGGCACGCTCAACCCCCCAGTGGCTTGCCCATTCGGTTCTTGTGACAGAGCACGGATCCGGTTTGAATGCACGTGCATACATGCATGCACACGCACATGCACTGCAGAGCAGGGACGTGCGGGGCAGCCTGCAGCTGCTTCCAGCAGGCGTCTGCCCTGTGCCGTCCCCGCCTGCCCCGTCCTGCACAGCACCCCTCACCTCCGGCTCCCTCTTCCCTGGAGCTCCCAGCCACCACCTGCGCCACGTCCGATTTGAGGCTGCCATGTTGGGGAAGGCCGGGGCAAATAAATAAATCAAGCCCTGATACAATTAATAATGACTATTTATTCTGGCAGGCGGCAGGAGAGTGCCACGCCATCTGTGCAGCCCGCGCTGCTGAGACACGAGCTAAATAATCAGGCTCGGCTCCGTGCAGCAGCTGGACGCCTCGTCACCGTGTCAGCAGCTCGGGGAAGCTCGGTGGCACGGGGTGGGCAGGGACCGGGGCCAAGTGCCTAATGCTGCTGGGTCCGCCTGCCTGGCCTCCAGGTCAGCGTTGCAGAAGTGCTGGTGTCCTCGCAAGGTGCAAGAGGACTATAAAGAAAGGACCTCGTACCATCCCCTCTTTGGAGCCCACGACAAAGCCTCCCTAGCCAGGGTGGAGGGCACTGCTGCCACGTCTCCCGCCGCTGGGTTCCTCTGGCCTGCCACGTGGGCTGGGGCTGCGCTTTGTTTGCACGGGGCTACCGCTCACAACAGCATCTCAGCCCACGACTCGGCCTCTTGGCGCTGCTGCAACACGTGATCGATAGTCCGTGTCCATCAAATGGAGGGATGGATCCGCTCACAGCACGAGCCCCTTCCACAGGCATTTGTGAGCAAACCCTAGCAATTTCCTGAGAGCTTTCCCTCCTCTGCAGGCTTTAGCCTTCGGAAAGAGCTGCTTTTAGGCTCCTGCTGCCTGACATCTCAGCATGAGCATACCAGTGATGCAGCCTGTCCAGGTGATGCCCCTCGCACACCCCTGGCAGGGCAGCATGCTCTGCACAAACCGCAGCGGCGTGTTTTCTCCTGAACAAACCAAACAGTCCCAGCAGCTCTTTGCACGACCTGTCAGTAACCGGAGCCAAAAGCCCAGCGCATAAAACCCGACACCTGCCAGGAAAGAGAAGACGGGGCAGAAGAATAAGGAAGGCGCTGAACCCGTGGACCCATCTAACCTGCTCGGTCGTCAGTTCGATAGCCGCCCGTCGCCGGCAGAACCAAGCCAGACCCTTGCTCAGCCCCCCGGCGAGGAGAAGCATCCTCCCCGCAGCCTGGGCCAGAGTTGTGCCCCTCTCACCCCTTTCGGTGTGATTTGGCTCATGGTGTAAATGCATCAGACCTGCAAGAGCGCATGTTTGCGGTGCAGGAAGAGTAAGAGTTGCTGCTGCTTGGGACCATCCTGACAAGGTCAAAGGGGAGTCTAGCTCTCCCCGACGGGCTGCCTTGCAGCGCTTCCCCTCCTCTCCTTATTCTGTGGCCGGCGAATCTACGAGCACGTAACGCTCAGTCACAGCGGATAATCGTACAAGTGTCTTAGGACTATTTTACAAGTAGCATTTATTCCAGACAGTAAAATGCAGCCGTATCTCAGGATGGATGTTTCCAAATCTCATAAATATGGATTGGAAGATGTACGTAATTACAGCTGTGTTTATAGATAGATGACCAAGATGGTTTCTAATATTGTCTTTTTATTGGGAAGTACTCAAATGCTAATAAGCAAAGCTTCTTTCTGGGTTAATAACATGGCATTCAGGTCACCTCTCCTCTATGTCAAAAGATGCATTAAAGTCTACTTAAAGTGCCAAATAACTCTCTGGGTTTTCCGGCGACCTCCGAAATGTGCCCCAAGGCGCACTGTATACAAAAAGACAAACAATATTGAAGGACGGCGCTGTCCGCAGTTCAATAAGAAGGGCTTTCCGAAAACAAGCGTGGCTGGTGCGCGTGAAAAGGTCAGGGAATCGAGCAACGCGTCGCGGACACGAGGAGCCGGGGATTTCACACCCGGTCTCTCCACTACAGCATGCATGCGGCCGTGGGAGTGACCCGGGGCACACGTGCCCAGCCGCGCACACGCTTGTGTCTGCAACACGGCCGCATCGCCCACGTGATCACCAGTGTGGCAGGGGCCGATCTCCGTGGCCCACCCACCTGTCTCTGGGCAACCGCCCGCCATATCTTGGTGTTAATTGATTCAATTACAGATGTCAATTAAGCGGGAGGCTACCCATTTTAGTGCCCCGATGCCAGGGGGCGCTCTCTGCAGCTCCTACCTCCCCAATACCGCAGCCCAAGCCTCGCAGATGGCATCTTGGTGCTCCCATAATCACCGGCCCCCAGAATCTTCCAAACAGGACCCCTCTATGATCCTTCCGATCAGGCGGCCTCTCCGCCTTCATCCGGGCTACCTAGCCCCCCGAAGCTACTTTCCCCTCTCAGGCGTGGTCCCCCCAGGACCTTCAGCCACTAGCCCTGGCCCACCTCCAGGCCAGTCGGGACCCCAGGACCCTGGCTCTTGGGTATCCCTCACGGTGGGCCCCTGGCCCTTTTGACCCTCCTGGTCCTGGCCCCAGCTTGGGCCAGTCGAGGGTACTCTCTCCTTCGGGCTGGGTCTCTAGCCCCTCACTCT